GGTGCTTTAGACCACTGAGCCATCTCACCAGCCCACTGGTGAACTTTCATTGCAGATTTGCCCAGGAACAAGATGCAGAGAGGGCATCTGGAGAGAAGGGTGGCTCTGCGTGTTCAGCAGCAGCCTTTGGAGAGCCCAGAGAGAGCAGGCATGGGGGTGGGGCCAAAGGGACCTCACCCCTGTGGCAGGTCTGAGCTGTTAGCAAGAGCAAGGTATTCATGTTTGGCTAGTATTACCTGTTAATTATTATAATAAAGCTAATTTGTAGCTAATTTTAAAAATCTGGATATATAGTGATGCGTGTTTATCATCTTGGCTATTTGGGAGGCTGAGGCAGAATGATCACAAGTTCAAGGCCGACCCTGTCAACTTTAGAAGATTCTGTCTCAAAGTTTAAAAGGAGCTGGGGATGTAACTCAGAATGCTCCCTGACAGGCACAGGGGCCTGGGTTCAGTCTCCAGTGTGGAAAACATAAACAAAAATAAAGTGAATTTGTACATAAACATCAAGTATTCTGCATGACCGAAATGCAAGTCAAAATGATAAATCAGAACAAGATGTGGTGGCACGCGCCTGTGATCCCAGCGCTCAGGAGGCTGAGGCAGAAGGATCATTGTGAGTTTAAGGCCAGCTTGGGCTGCACAGAGAGATCCTGTCCCAAAAAACCAAAGCCAAACCAAACCAAACCAAACCAACCTAACAAAATAACCCCCAAGCCAAACCAAAACAAACGAACCAGGAAAAATAGGTGCAACTCTTAGCACTAACAAAGTTCTATTTATCTTAATATATAAAGTACTCCGAGAGGCCGGGCCAGCCAGATAGCTCAGCAGATTAAAGTGCCAGCTTAGGTAGGCATAGGAACCAGGGTTCAATCCCCGGTGTACCATGCTGGCCCCACCCCGGGGCGCACTGAGACAGTGACTGAGACTGGGTATGGCGGCATGCGCCTGTAATCCCAGCACTTAGGAGGCTGAAAACAGGAGGATCACTACAAGTCCAATCTGTGTAGTGAGACCCTGTAGACCCTGTACTAAATACATTTAAAAAAAAAAAAAGAACTCCTAGAAATCAAAAGTATCAACTTTCCAACAGAAGTAAACCAAGGAGCCAGGCATAGCATGCATGCCCATAATCCACTGGGGAGGCTGAGGCAGAGGAGCACCATGAGTTTGAGGCAGCCTGAGTTACACAGGGTGAGTTTCAGGCTACCCTGAACTATAAAGCAAGACTGTATCTCAAACAAAACAAAACAAACAAACAAACAAAACCCCTAACTAAATAAATAAGTGAAAATATGGTCAGTTCACAGAACAAGGAACAAAAAAAAAAAAAAATTAACATGTAGAAATGCTTAACTGTCCTCAAAATAGAAGTGGAAGTTAAAACTACACCGTAGTGCCAATTTTCACCTATCAGATTGGCAACCGTCCAACGTGGTCCAGCGGCCAGGCTGTGGGGAAACAGCTACTTTCACACGTTTCTCAAGCAAGCGGAGATGGAGAGAAATGTCTTTCCAGATGAAAAATGCAGGGGGCCTGGCCCTAGCTCAGTTCGTTAAGCGGCTGCTTCCACAGAGCGGTCAGCCTCAGGTTGCTGTAGTTCGATCCCCACAACACTCCAGCCAGCCAAACCACCCCTGAAGGCATTCGGAGCACACACACAAAAAAGCATTATTTCATCCTTTCTCCACCAGTCCCACTTGCAGTGTTATGTTGTTACAATCCGCACTGTGGTCAGGCCTGCCAGGGACAGCCACGCACATCGCACGCTGCATGAGGGTGCAAGTTACAGCAGAGACACTGCGTGTCTGGAAGTGTCCTAGCGCACAGTTCCAGGAAACGGAAGTAAAGTGTTCTGAAGAAGACTCTCTATGGGCCATTAGCAAAGCCAACTACAATGTATCATGGTCCGTGCAACAAAGCAAGTGTCCATCACCAGAGGACAGGCTGTGACCCAGACAGGCACACAAAGTGGAATACTAGACATCTGGGGAAAGAGAATGAGAAAATTCCTATCTCCAGAATGTGTTATTAAGTAATACAGATGAGTGACGTAGTACCCAAACTACAGCATGAGAAAGGAGGAAAAACGGAATGTTTGTATTTTCATGAAAAAAGTGATGATAATGTGTTTTCTAAAACCTACTAGAAGGGTTTACAGTAGGGAAAATGGGGGAAAGATGGGTTGGGGAAGAGGGAGATTTCTCAAATTGTCAAAACTATATAATTACACACACACACACACACACACACACACACACACACACACACACTCAGGACCTTGTGCTTTCCAGGCAGACATTTGTGCTGCTGAGGTATGCTCTTGGCACCAATAATTATATATTAAAAAATAAAGGCATGTTTTCCAGTTGCAGGCTGAAATTCTGTGCATGCCGAGGTGTAACATTTTGTGTGTAACAGCAAGCCCCGTGATGTGGGAGCCCCTGTGGGGGGGTCGTGAACCGTTTAACTTGGCCGAGGGCTCAGAGGTCACTTCAGCTCCTGCGCAGGCGTTGCTCCTCTTGCACTTCCACCCTGGCCCCTAGGAGGCGCTCCGTACCTTAGTGCTCACCAGGCCAGCCGAACAGGGGCATGTGGGCAAGGGCAGTGCCGGTGCTGGCGCTCTGCTCTGAGTCCTGATTCCAGCTTTGTCACTTAGTAGCTGGGTGACATTTGCTTTTTTTTTTTTTTTTTTTTTTGTAGTTCTGAGGATTAGCCCAGGACCTTGACACTGAGCTACACCTCCACCCCCTTTCTTTATTTGGATACAGTGTCTCTATAAGTCACCAGATTACCCAGACTGGGCTTGGTCTTCCGGCCTCAGCCTATCCCAAAGTACTAGGAATTATGGTCATGTGCTGCCATGCTCGGTTATGGGTACTCTGAAGCATGTTGCTGCAGCTCCTTGTGCCCCACGCTGCACATCTGTAACTCTGTGAATTCAAAGCAGTTCTTGTTTTTTTTTTTTTTTTGTTTTGTTTTGTTTTTGTTTTTTGGTATTGGGAATTGCACTCAGGGCCTTGCACTTGCCAAACAGGTGCTGTGCTGCTGAGCTATGTCCCTGGCCCTCAAAGCAGTTTTTTCCACATAGGGCTGGTATAAAGATCAAATGAGCTAGCTAAGCATGGTGGCACATGCCTGTAATCCCAGCACTCAGTAGGCTGAGGCAGGAAGGTTACGGAAAGTTTGAGGCTAGCTTGGGCTACAAAATGAGACCCTGTCTCAAAAAATATAAATAAAACCAATTCCCCCCCCCAAAAAAAAAATCAATTGAGCTCATTCATTTCCACGCAGAACCTGGCACAGAAGGGGAATACCACAAACATTAGCTCTTCCTCATGAAAGTAAAGGGCTTGGGCACAGTGACATAGTCTCTTCTTTTCCTCTCTGTAAAATGTCTCTCTGTCTGTCTCTTTGTGTCTCTGTCTGTCTGTCTGTCTGTCTGTCTGTCTGTCTGTCTGTCTGTGTCTCTGTGTTTCTCTCTCTTTCTCTCACCCTCTCCATAGCGCAGGGATGGCACCTAGACCCCCCTGCATGCTAGTCAAGGGCTGTACCACTGAGCTGCAGTGACATTTGAACGGCCAGAGGGCTGAGCTTCAAGGTGGGGCCCCAGAAGGGCTGGGGAGCACAGTGGTCCTGGGTTGGATTTTGGCACACATGCACACACACGCACACACATCTCTTCAACAAATAAGCAGTGCATGAGATGTGTAGATTAGACAGCAGCGTTGTATTGATGTTCATTCTCTGATTTGCATAATTACTTTGCGGTTATGTAAGGGAATTTCATTTTTAGGAAATGCACACTGAGAATTTTAGAGGTGATGGAAAGCACATTGGAGTAAACGTGAGAAAGTTAGGCAGTCTGGGTGCAGAGTACTCAGTAGGTGTGTGCGCGGGTTGTGCAGTTCATCTATGTGCCTGAGGTTACTTCCAAATACAGAGTTAAGATAGTGATAGCCAAGACCTGGCAGGGGTGAGGGGCAGTGGTGCAGTGTGCTTCACGTGCATGTGGCCCTGCATGCCAGCCCAGCATCCCCGCCCCAAGGAAGATCCGGTGCCAGGGGCGGCTGTGCACATCTGTAATCCCAGCTACTCTGGAGACTGAGGCAGGAGCATTCCAGATTTGAGGCTATGGGGAGCAACTGAGCAAGAATAAGGGCTGGGGCTGGAGCTCAGTGGTAGAGCACTCCCCTAGCATGCACCAGCCGCTGGCTCAATCACCAGAGCTGTATTGCAAACAAATATGATACCAGTCACTAGGTTGGGTGAGACAGGCTCAGCCTCCCTGAGACCTGGGTCTGCAGGCATGTGCCACCGTGCACCTGCTGGCTAACACCTCGTGAGCACTTACTATGCTCCAGGTGCTGTGCCTTCCCAAGTGGTGCTGTGAGGAGTCTTTTAGCAGCCCATCCCACTTCCCAGAGGACCCAGAGTGCAGGAAGATTGTGCCTTCCCAGGTGTTTCTGGTTAGATGGCACAGCTGGGATGGGAGAGGGCAGAGGAGGCCCAGCTCCCGGATGAAGCTGGTGCTGGGCTTTCTCTTCAACCCAGTAATGGTTATAGGAGAAAGAGGTACGATGCTTAGATCCATCCCTGGTTCTGGGTTGGATCTTTGGAAAAGAAAAACGTTCTTCAACAAATGAGAATCGAAAACAGCTACATTCAATTAGATTCCGAGCTCGGTGCAGGCAGGGCCCGTGTGTGTTTGCATCATTGCTGGGCCAAGGAGTCAGGACAGAGCCCAGCAGAGAAGAACCCAGTAAGTGTTTATCAGTTGAATGATGACAGTGTTATGACTGTTAATAATAACAACAGTTCTGGTGTTAGTGCATTTCACCCTCCAAACAACCCCTAACACTGTTTTAACCCCATTTTCCAGATAAAGAAACTGAGTCTTGTAAAGAAGTCTCCCACGCGAGGTAGACAGCCAGGAAGGGCACAGCTGGCACTTGCAAGCCCGCCTGGAGCTGAGGCCCCAGCCGCCCCACACCCACCTTCTGGAAGTCCTTCTTGGAGATGAGCCCACGAGGATCAGTGACGTAGTCCTGGAAGGCCTCGGAGCCCACGATGTCCTTGAGCTTCAGGAACATATCGAAGAACTTGAGGATCATCTCCACGTTGGACGAGGACTCCACCAGCATGTCCACCATCTGCCGGGCAATCATGCCGTTCACCACATTCCCTGCAAGAGACCTAGGTCAGTGTGCCTGTCCTGCTGCCCGGCAGAGCCCCCTTCCTGTAGCCCTTCAAGGATAGTCTCTCTCCAGCTCCTAGGCTGCCTGTGGCTCCCCGAGACCCACTGTGCCAGTCCCCAGTCAGGTCCCAAGCCTTCCATGCAGGGCCGCTGTGGATCTCCGTCAGCACTGTCCACTGCTGGCTTCCGCCTTTGCCTTTCTCTCCACTCCTAGCTGGGGGAACTAGCAACAAAGACACAGTGGTGACAGGCTGGGCACAGCGACACATGCCTGTATCCCAGCAATCTGGGAGGCTGAGGCAGGAGGACTACAAGATGAAGTCTTGCCTGGACAACTTAGTCTCTGTCTCAAAAAACAAACAAACAAACAAAATTAAATAAAAACAGCTTGGGGCTGTGGAGATGGCTCAGTGGAATAAGCGCATCCTTGGCAAGCACAAGAGCCTGAGTTCAATCTCTGGTTCCACCAA